CTCTTCCCCAAGCCTGTAGCGCTGCATGGGGTTGTTGTGGCCGAAGTGCAGGACCCGGCACTTGTCCTTGTTGAACCTCATACAGTTGGCCTGGGCCCATCGATCCAGCCTGTCCAGGTCCCTCTGCAGAGCCTTCCTACCCTCGAGCAGATCAACACTCCCGCCCAACTTGGTGTCATCTGCAAACGTACTGAGGGTGCGCTCGATCCCCTCATCCAGATCATCGATAAAGATATTGAACAAGACCGGCCCCAAAACTGAGCCCTGGGGAACACCGCTCGTGACCGGCCGCCAACTGGATGTAACTCCATTCACCACAACTCTCTGGGCCCGGCCGTCCAGCCGGTTTTTTACCCAGCGGAGTACACCTGTCTAAGCCGTGAGCCGCCAGCTTCTCTAGGAGAATGCTGTGGGAGACAGTGAAAAGTCGGTACAAAGTGCAAAGGGATGCTCCCAGGTCAAGTGGATCAGGATATAAAATTCATGGACACTTTAGGTCTTTGCATTTATGGTTTTCTTTAAAGAAGAGAGGCAGAAATGGGCAGATCCAGATGGTACCCCAAAATGAACTGACTGGCTTATCCTAGGGGTTGCCTGTTTTTCCCCAGACTCTATGGGGAGCCTTAAGCGCCTGGCTGAGCCTCGGTGCCTGCAGCCAGGAGGGATGGAGCCCACCCTGCCCGTCCCAGGCAAGGCTGCCCATGTCTCCCACCCATACATCTCTTGAAACTGGGGTTCAGCAGTACCCCAGCAATTCCCATGCCCCTCTCCCCGTGGAAGTGGGGTGGTGGTCTTGTTTGCAGTTCAACTCGGTGTGGATATAAGGGGCAGTTCAGGCACGTTTTGGTGTCCTTAGTATTGGTGTAAAGGGCTGCACTGAATGATTCAATCATATATTACGTATGCTTTTATATACAAGCATATATATATAAGCGCCCATATAGAGCTGGTGGGAGGGAGGGAGCGCCCCTGCCTCCCCGAAACACAGCAAAGCCAGGCGCACCGACCCACGCCACCACCGAAGGTGGGCTTGGGCCAACACGTTGGTCTGCAGAGGGGCACCGGAGGCATTTCCCTTCTGCAGGTGCTGCCGCGGGGCGACGCTCTGCCGTGGAGCAGCCAGGCCCTATTGCACCTTAACCCCCGTCGGCAAAGCTGCCGATGCCGGTGCCTGCCGGAGCCCCGTTTCTTCCTCGAGTCTAGAAACTAGAGCCGGTATCTGCTCCCAGCCCTTTCGGGCTGGGGGACTCTGCGCTGTCGGCTCCCGCCCACCGATTAAAAAAAAGGGTGCTGCTGTTTACCTGCGGGGTGCTGGGGAGTATTTGTGGTGGGCAGAGGCGCAGGCTCTTCTACCGCGATTGGGTGTTGACACCCGGCCACCGCTGGGAAGCGTGCTCAGGCAAACACGGGGAAAAGATTAAACAAAGAGGGCAGTTACGGCCGAGTTCAGAAGCGATGCTCTGCCTTCGGCACCGCCTTGCTCGCTAAAGACGCTCCACCGGCGCGGTACCCCCCCGGCATTAAACGTGCCAGGGCATCCGGGACCGGACGGCCTTTCAGCCGTGGGCGGAGGCGCTTAAATTCACGACAAACTTGATAAATCCGAAACGGCACAGACGTCCTGCACCGAACTGTCTTTAACCTTGGCTTCAAGCCCCGTTTTCCGAAGCTCCCACCCTCGAACCGCGGACGTCACGACAGACTGGCAATCGCGATGCATTTCCGCGCGCCTCCCGCGGGGCTGAAGGGCCTCAGGAGGGCAGCGGGGTGAATTACGGACGGCTTGTGCAGGAGAGGCACCGCGCTACCGCTCCCGCCCC